GAAATGAGCTTGAGAGGTCTCAGTTGCAGCTTGTGCTATGAATTCATTCCCCTGCTTTGTGCTAATTGTGTTAGACACAGAGGCCAGGAGCCACCTATTAGTGCAGGCAAATAGAAAAGTAAGTTTTCTTATCCCCAGTGTAGCAAGGGGCTGGGAGAGAGTCGGTCTGTATTTAATGGAGTAGTGCAGAACTGGGGTGATGGAAGCTCCTACAGACCTGCACAGATTAATGTAGTCACTTTAACATACACTGGGGAGCAAAGGATTTCTTTAACAGATGTTTCATAGCTTTCAAGAACCTGAATCAGCTGAGCACCAGTCTCACACAGGTGTAGGTGTTGGGTTTAGAGATTGCAACCATCCCATTATACCTTTCTGCGTTGCCCTGTAGTGCTTAGCAGGGCTGTTTTACGGTAGCAGGGCTGCAATCTGAGCTTGTGTAAGTATTGACCTCCCTTATGGGTTTGGCTTGTTCCAGAACCTTAGCAAACTTGTAAAAAAAAAAGTAGGTAACTCCTGCTCTTTTTAAATTGTTCTTGATATGTGTGATGTGACCTATATGGTTCATCTAACTGACGGTTTTTATTTTATCAGGGAGGTGCAAAATATCCAGTAATAACATCAGTCCTCACTTAAAAGATCAGTGATGGTCCTGAATTATGAAGGAATAGAGCAGAAGAAGCCTTGTAAATTAAACAAAGGCAGAAATGTTTGTTGTTGATTAAAACCAAATTTAACTTTTTGGGTATGCAGGAGCATTACAGATGATAAACTTTGGACTGAAATCACTTCTTAAATTAATGAGGCGGTAAATAAGTGCTGTCATTTGTGTGGAGAACAGCTTGAAAAACGGCAGTGTTTGGTATAGTGTGGAATAAAAAATGAATCATTTTTTCTTTCACAAAGACCCGAAGAAAGCTCTTTCTTGAGCAAGCAATCTGGAGGGCTGATATTTGGGAAGACAAGATAAAACTTATTTTGTTTTTCTGACTCCAGTTTGGTAGACCTAAGAAGCGTAACAGCTAAAGGACAGAGCCAAAACACGCATCCCTGGTCTCCCCTGGGGTACTAGGTGTATGGTGTGTGTTAACATACATGCTGTTTATGGAGGGATGTGCAGTTTAGGATGTGCATGTCCTCTGTTACTAGGGTGTAGGAAGCAATAAATTCCTTTTACCTGGAAAGAGAGAATTTTCTGTTACTTTTGCTAGGGCTTTTGAGATTCAACAGGGCTTGTGTCTGCCCAAGCCCTTGGGGGTGGTGGTGGAAAGAGTTTAATGGGGGCTGAGAGCCTGGGAAGAGGATCTTCTCAAAGAAAAGAGACATTTTATTATTATGGAGCATCAGGAAGTCTGGAAAACTGTCTGGAAACCTTGCTTGCTTTGGGAAGTGAGTCTCTAAACCACTTTGCATTTTTGTGTATACTTCAGAGTATAATTATGAATACCAATTATCATGGCTGTTTCTTTTAATCAGCATGAACTATCTGTCTTGTAATACTTTTCATGCTGCTAAGGAAATACGTGCACATGTCTTTATTGCTTTTTTGTCAATCTCCCTTGTATGTTTCTTAGTGTGAAACCTTTCCAGAGGATTGGCAATAGCCTTTCTTTTACAACAAACAGTTTGATTTAGGAGTGCTGCTGCCTATCATTGCTACATTAGTGAAGAAATGAAATGTTTATGGGCTAATCTATACCATCCTCCCAAACCATAGATTTTGGTAATGGAAAGTTCAGTTTAATGCTCTAATAACCTGTGCTCTGATATACATGTATGCTGTGCCAATTAATCTAGAAGGTAGATGTGAAATCCTGTATCTTCAGCAATGTTTCAGTCTTCATTCTGAAATAAATGTAAGTACCTGGGTAGATGGGGAAGCGTGGCATTCTTCATGATAAAATAAATGAGAAATAATAGGTTACTAAGGAATTGTTCTTTTTTCATGAGACCCTTAAGCCCTTCCTTGTACCCCTATAAAAGTCAGCCTCCCTGCTGTAAGAAGGATGCAGGTTTAAGCTACATCAGGGCTACGTGGACAACAAGATACTGCTTGGAAAAAGACTGAACCTGTTCAGTTTAAAAACTGAGATTAGTTTGAAAACCTGCTGAAGTGGAATGATCTTGTAATAATGGTATGAAATACTGTAAAAGGGGAGCTGTGTGGAAAAGAAGAAAATATTGCTATGGGGGAGCAGGCTTACATCCCTGGATGGGTTACATTAGAGGACTTTGTTCAGTCAGGAGCCTTGTACGTGCAAATTTTTCTGCCAGAAGGATGCCTTTGTCTGAGCTTCCTCATTGGGTTTTCCATGGTGGCATGTGTTGGAGCTACCTTTCCTCAGTTGTTCTGCCATTTCTGCCTTGGTTTTGTATGGTGCCAGCTCTGTGGTATTGGTCACCCTCCATAGTCCTGTGTGCCAAGGGCCAGCGTTTTGCAGCTTGACCTTTCCCTTGGGATCTAGCCCTGCTCCTGAGGAGTTAAACTCAATTGCTTTGAGTAATGGAAAGTATGTTCATTAACAATGTTCTATTTAAAATACAAAGCAAATGCAATGATAGCAAGAGGTGTCAGATGACCAAGACTGAGAATCACTCTTTCCATTGGGAGCCTGAACAGATGCAGGGCAGCCTTCTGCAGCTGCTGGGGTCTCCGGTCTCTCTCTCTGGGGTGAGGAGGAGCTGAGGAGCTCAGCAAGCATGTGCTGTATGGGAGTGCAGTGTGGTGCTGCTGGTGCTGGGCACATCTTTCCTCAGGAAGCAAAAAATAAGGAGAGGAGGCCTTTCTTTTCAGGAGCATCCCCCAGGATCAGAGCTCTGAGCAATGCAGGGGTTACTAGCATGTGGGCAGTAGGTCAAATCAACAAGTTTAACTTTTCAGTTGTTTTTGAGGCAAAGCAGAAGGCTCGGCAGCTCATAAAAAACACACCAGAGCTTTTTATGCATTTCCAAGTTGTGCTTTCAGATTGGGTACCTGTTGGGATGGGGTTTATCAATGGAATAAAAACTGAGTGGTCTGGGTTTGTTCTTTCTCTCAAAACTTTTTTTTTTTCCTTTGAATTGTCAAAACATCTTGTTTTCATTGGAAGATGTAGTAACAATTTTGTTTGTTGTCACAATGGTTGAATGAGTGGCTGGTTGAAGCTGTCACTAGCTGGAAGAGGCTACTATGTAAGGTGTGGGTCTTTACAAATGGCTGAATGAAGATAATCCCCAAATGTTGTCTTATCAGAATATGGACATCTTTATTTATTTATTTACAAATAATTGTTTATGTTTGGGATGGGAAACTTTTAACTACCAAAACCCTATCATAAAAATCCATTCCCTGTGTAGCTCAATGAAATCCCTTCCCACTCAGCGTGTTTAGTGGGAAAGGAGTATTATCTTTATTTTCATCTGTTTTATCTGAAAATTATTTCTGCTCTGACCTTACTGTAGTGGAGTAATGTAGGTGACGTTGTCTTGATTGCTTACAATTAGAGTTCAGAGAAGTACTGTCGAGCTGGTTATGTCTCATAACATGCGACTGTTTTAAAAACATGTTTTTGTTTGTTTTGTTTTGTTTTTAAATGAGTGGCTTAATCCAGCCTATTTCTCCACAAATGAGAAGTCACCCCATTCTGCTACTAGTCTGGGGTTGGGCCGCAAATATCTGAAAAGTTAACTGAACTTGCAGTTCAGAGAGGAACGAACAATGGGAATTCTGGTCCTTCAGGCCATGTCCATCCCTGGACTGGGCTGGCTACGTGACTGCATGTCAGGGTAGTGTAGCAAGGAAGCATCAGAAGGAGACTGACAGTGTAAATGGTGAAGTGTTTTGCTTTTTGTTTGCTTTCCCAGCAACTGAGATCCATGGTTTCCTTGGAAGGAGGAAGCACACAACATGTGTGTATGCAGTATGTTCAGAAACAGAAGGGTGTCTAGCAGTCCCTTGAGAAACAACCTTCAGGCTGAGGCCCTATAAATAGTTTGGTTAATGCATCTCATGCTTTTTTTCCTTACCTTTTTAGGACAGGCTAAGCAACCACCTCATTTTTTTTTCTTCTCCCTTTCTATCAAGGTTTTTTCCCACTGCATGAAGCAACCACCTGTAAACTACCTGCTGGCATAGGTCTCTGGGCAGGGCTCATCTCTGGGTCTCTCTTGGCCCCATTTGCCAGCATGTTGAGGGTTTAAGTGGGAGACTTTTTTGGGAAGCCTTGGAAAAGAGGCAGCTGCTGCTTCACTGGTTGTGCCGTGGCTTATTCTTGTGCCAGCTGCCCTTGCAGCACCTGTTGGCTCTTGAATTATGGTTCTTGGGTAATTTAATAAGGCTAAGCTGGATTTTTATAGAACAAGCTGACCCTCAGAAAGGAGGGTAAGGCAGTTTTGGGAACACTCAAGGAAAGGAGCAATAACGCTTAGGGCGGGGAGGTGTGGGTAACAATACAGCTCTGAGAGCTGGTTACTCCTGTGGTTATTGGGCTCCCCAGGCCTGGGGGGTTACAGCCATGGGGTTGGTGCCCCCAGTACAGAGCTGGTATGGGCGGCTGCTGTTCCACGTGTCCGTAAGATTACAAATACCGCAGGTAGTTAGGATCCCTTCCTAATTGTGCTGTAGACCCACTGTTGTGGTGTTAAGGAGGAGATTTTGCCAGGAAGGGGGTGGCTCTGCATGGCTCCCCAAATTAGGGTCACCGTGGTTGGTCTTGCCTGGGATCTCAGGGCAGATGCCACCCCAGGGGCTGTTCTGGTGCCGGCTAGTGGGTGTCCTCCCCAAAACATTCAAGTGCTGATGTAGGTGGTGGCTCCCTAATTGTTCCTTCTGCCAGTCCCCCCAAGAAAACCCTTTTCATCCAAACTAAGTAGAGTGACCTCTGGAAGAAGTTTAAATATGTTTTTTTTTTTCATAAAACTTTATTTTGTGGAATACAACATACAGAAATAAATTAAGTGCTGAGTTCTGCTTTGAGTAGGTTTGAACTGCTTTAGGTGGGGGAAAAAAGACTTTATAGCCTCAAAGTGACCACAGGGTTTTATTGATGCTTTAATTTTCCAATGGATTACATTGCTTCATGGGAAACAACATGGAAAGAGATGCTTGGGATGGATGAATGCTGGATGGTAGCAGCTTTTCCATCTTGCTTACCCTGATGAAAGTTCAGTTTTTGGAAGTGTAGTGACCCAGAGGCAATACCTGTGGATGCACTGGTAGAGATTAGTGGGCTTAGAGGCACGTCGTCCAGTCCTCTGCAGTTTCCATGTTGATGGTGCCTGCCAGAGCACGAATTTCACTTGGGCAGATCTTAGGTGCCATCTGGTCTTTCCGAATTTGACTTGTTCTAGGAAGGAATGAGAGAGTTGAACTTGAAGTCACCTTTGGCTGAAAAAACACTTGCAAAATAACAAACTGAGCCCTTGATTTCTATCTTGAGGTGTCTGTTTCTTATGAAAGTTGAGACTGTCTTTCCCAGGATAGAATAACAGTCCAAAAGGGCCCATAGAGCCACGGTATTTGTTTTTGCACTTTAAAGAGAGCTGCTGACCTTTGCTGTTGACAAAAGAGAATCATGTCAAGGTTGTGGGGTTTTGCCCTCTTTGTAGAAGTACTGCTAAATGCTCAGATACTTCTGGAGCCACCTTTTGGCTATTGATCATGACTTAAAATACTTTTTTCAGGTGATTGCTTAATTTTATTTGAAGAGTAGCTCACAAAAGTATTGAGTCTACTCTCTACAGTAATCTATATGTTGTAAGGTGTTGCTTAGACTTGTTTTTTCTTTAAACAAATAGTCTCTGTGATTATAGGATAAATGTCTTAAGCTGTTGATTTTCATAGTGTAAACTCCAATTTTGTATGACAACAGAAATCTAAGATGATATTTAAGCTGGTGTTTGTGATCATGGATAAACAGAATGTTTGTTTGTTTGTTTTTTCATGGTACAGATATCTGAAAAAAATGCACTAAACACTGCCTCAGTTTCCAGCCAGTTGTGGAGCTGGGATTAAGGCCCAATAATCTGCTCTCCTGTTTTCCTTGCTCTTGGAAAACAGTTTAATTTTATTGTATCACTGCGGAGATGGTGTCATGTTGATTTCATAACCTGTGTCTACAACCATGGACTTGTAGGAACCTTCAAGCATAGCAAAGAGACAAGGTTAAGACTGCAAATGTGAAGAACCTACCATTTCATATCTGGGGATGTCCACTTAGACAGACAAGATGTGCTTTACAAATGCTGTGGAAAAATACAAATGCGATGGTTAGAAGGAGCAGTAAATAGTAGTTTGGGAAATACTCTTAAAGGCAAGAGCTGGTCAGGAGCTGATGGTGTCAAAAAGGTACTTCTGCTTGAATTTGATTTGGTAATGTGATAGGAAGCTTGAAGAACTTAATATTTTACAAACTATATTCTCTTTCTGCCTAGCTGTGATGAGACCAATGACAAACGGAGTGCTTTGCCTAAGCCATTTGCCGTGGGTTAGTTTACTTCCCCCCACTACAGCTTTTCTACAGAAAGTCAGAGCCTAGAGACCCAGAGCTGACAGCAGTAGCCTTCTCTGCTGTGACCAAAGCTAGCCTTTTCAGCAGTGTGACTGCAGGCTAAGCGTGTTGCAATGCTTGTTTTCATGCATAAACCTTTCAACATAACTCAGCTGTAGCTCTGTTGAACTGGTTTGCTGGAGAAGCTAAAAGCCAAGTGCAATGAAACTCAGCACTGAAATGTAGGAGAAGAGAGAGTTGTGAGCCCCCACACCTACCCTCATAGTTGATGCAGCCGTTGGAGTCTTCCTGACCTTTCATCAGTTCATCTACTTCCTCTTCTGTCATCTTCTCGCCTGGAGAGCAGATACAGCCTGGTTAATTCTTACACAGACGCATGATGCTGGATCCTACAGCTCTTCCAAATGCTTCCCGTGTTTTCTAGGTTAGTGAAAAGGCCTACAGCTGAACTGAGATTTATTCATTTTAACTCTCTATAGAAGTTCTGTACATGCACGTAGACACAGCAATCGTAGTTATTTCTACAGAGTGAAGAAACTACACAACAAATCCTCTGTCTGTGTGCTTTACTTCACTGAAGTTTACAGCCTGTTCTGTCTGTCACTCAAGAGGGTCTCTTTGTACCTGGTTTGAGAAGTAATAAAGCCTTTCTTTTAAGTTTTCCATGGTGTTTTGTATCACCTTTCCCTTTGGATTCCCAGGTCAGAAACCCGGTCTTGTCTGGCCTTGTAGCTTCCTGTCTCTCCAAGCTAGTTAGAACATCTTTCTTTTCTCTCATGCCTTCAAACAGCAGCAATTTAATGTTCAGAGGTGATAATCCCTTACCCAGCGTAGCCAGTACGTGACGGAGTTCAGCCCCCATGACTGTGCCATTGCCTTCCTTGTCAAAAACACGCAGACCTTCAACGAAGTCTTCATAGGTACCCTGGTCCTTGTTGTTAGCAGCTGCTTGCAGCATGGGCAGGAACTCTTCAAAAGTAATTTTCTTGGCATTCATCTCTGGAAAGACAGCACCAGTTGCTATGCTACTGCACACTTCAATGTGTGTTCACTTGGGGTATTCACCACCACATGCAGGGAAGCCTCCCACCTCACTTACACGCCTTGTTCTCTAGCTTACTCCTGCCTTTCCCATGGGATTTGGCAGTTTCTCTGTGAAATCTGAATTCCCTCTTACCATGGGAGCTAATTTTCACATCCATATGATTTTTCACATACTTGCTCAACTTTTCACACAGTTCTATAAGTTTACACTTGTTTTTTTCTTTCTTTTTTTTTTTTTTCCAGGAATGAAACTTGCTGTATGAGTTGATTGTTGAAACGATTTTGATGGGTGGGAGCTACAGAATATGGTAAAACGGATCTTGAACCCCACGCAGTGGGGAAAGACAACAGGAGTGGGATTTTGGGACTTAGGCAAGCCCCTGGGGCTGCCAATATCACATTACTGACTTCTTTGGCTTCTATTGGATGTGGAAGCAGAGGCTATTAGCAAAAGAATAAGCCAATTAAGAATGTCTAGAGGAATATGAATATTCCACATATTCAGTGTGGAGGCTGAAGGCCTCACAAGCTTAGTGCATCTAGCCCCTTTCTTTCCGTGAGCCAGAAATTGTGGTTTCCAGTGAGGCCTTCCCCATGTGTTTTTGTTAGAGCAAGGCTGCTAAAAGGATCCCTTTCTTTTTTTTTTCTTACCTGTATCTTTGCAAAGAGCAGTTTTCATTTGGGCAGGAATGAAATATAATAGATGGAAACATACAAAATTTTTGAATATAGAGTTGTTACTGAAAGTATTTTGCTACCTGACTATATAAAACCCCTGACAGTTATTGCTCTGGTCACTTACAGCACCTTGATGGTTTCACCTCACTGTTAGTCCTCTGCTTAGCGCTTCCCACGGGTGCTAATGCTGAACTCAGGACTTCTGAGTTGTTCCTTAGAGCCTCTTCTGCCAAATGTAAGTGTTTGGATATGATGTAACCCATCTTAATAAGCGACTGCTTGAGTGAACTCAGGGATGTCCCGTACCTAAGCTCTTGTGAAAAGATTACCACAGTATTTACCACTTGTATTTCTAAAAGGGGGAGGAAAGGAAATAGAAGGTGGCAGCTAGTAAAAGGCCACTAACAAACAGCCTACACCTCATATGTCTATGCGTGTACCAGTTTTAAGCAGAACACCCTGTTCAGATGAAATATACAGATGGGCTGCCATCCTCTTCAAAAGGAACTGGTGAAATTCCATGTGTTCCTGCTTGAGATCCCACCTGACTTCCCTGTTGGAGCAAACAAATCCTCTCCCTCCTACTGTGAGTACCAATGTTGCCTAATTACAGTTCCTCAGTTTGAAAAAAGGGCCTGGAAAAGACTGCAGGGCACTTACCCTCTTTGCTGGGGTTGCCCAGGATCTTGTTGATCTCAGCATTTGTGGGGTTCTGCCCCAGCGCCCGGACGATGTCACCGACCTGGCTCAGGGTGATCTTGGCATCACCAGTCCTGTCAAAGAGGAGGAAGGCCTCCTTGAAGTCTGCAAGGGAAGAGTAGTGGTTAAATCAAGCCAGACAGCTCTGCAGTGACAAGTTGTATGGACAAAGATGTGAGCCTCTTGTCTCCTGGCACCGTTCCAACGACTCCCAGGGAGTTAGAAGGGGAATCTTTGACCCATGGTCCCAAGAAAAACTCCTCCCTTCTGATGTTTTGGTTTCACTATTTTTAAACTTTTCCTGGCTTTAATAACCACCAGTAGCTTTGTGATTGACCCTGTAGTTATTTCAAGCACAGAGGAAGATAAGCTTTCTACAGACTTTGCCATTCAAGAACACGTTTCTTTATAGGACATGGTAGTAGAAGGTAAAAATGTTATTGAATAATCCACTCCATTTTAACCTGCCCAAGGACTGGGACTCTTCTGCCAAAGCACATAGGAGTGCAAAACATTTGCCTGCAATTCCAGCATCTCAGCCACACAGTACTAATGGGAAACTTGAAGGTAGATTTCAAATGCTGCTACTCTTGCTTTTTCATAAAGCTGCCTTACAACGACACTTCTACTTTATTTGCTCTCCTGTCTGTCCTCACTTCTTACAGATGGGTGAATATCCAGCTCTTTCCAGTGGCAACACTTGCATTGCCTTATTCTGGCATGTTCTCAGTGCATACAACTTTGAGACTTTGCTTCTTTCGGTGCTGCCAAATTATCAAAGTTCAATCATCTCCTCCCCCGTGCTGCTGACAAAGGACTTAGGGGTATTGACACTTCTATACAAATTGGTGCAAGCAGTTGCCTTCAACATATTGCTTGTCTTCATTTTCTGCTACAAAACTCCATGTTAATCTTATTGCATTCTTCAAGCTTTTTAAGCTGTTTATTGCAATGAGTAAAGATATCTTTAAAAAAAAAAAAAAAGTAATGGGTTTATCTAAAATGCCATTTTCAAACCTCGTATGTCCAGAGCATTTTGGTCTGTGCTGTTGTTTTGGTCTTTTCCTGCACTGCAGTGCCTAATAGCTCTGTGTTTTTAACTCCGAGTAAAGCAGCATAATGTCCTTCCCTTGGCTGTCATGCTCTCCCAGCAGCTAGGGAGGGGCTTTGGGTCCCGCAGTGCGTGTAGGTGGAATGTTCTTTGTGCCTCAGGGCAGATTTAGGAGCAATAAACCACATCAAGTCATGTCCTCATTCATCTTGTGCTGGGGACATCTGACAGAGGTACTTAGGTTCTTGCTCTAGCCATCCATACACTCACTGTGTTAGTGGAGGAGTTGCTGGCACCCAGTAAAACTGCTGATACAGGATGTCAGCCTGCTAGGCTGTAATCTAATCCACCTGAAACTAACCTTCTTACTGTTTGATGTGTGAGACCTATAACCCTTCACTGCTAACCCTCTCCCCTTACAGCTATTATTGCAGATGATGAAATCAAGGCCTTCTGGATCTGTGTAGAGCTTCCCCTTACAGTATCCCAGTTTCGTATCAGCCCCTGCTCTAGCAGATGAGGTTGATAGAGCTGTGCTGATTTATACCATACAATCAGATCTTTCATCTGGTGCATTCATGACATTTAGCCAGAGCAAAAGATAAAATACAGTTCCAGTCTGTTATTAGCAAAGCCAGTTGGGAGAGTTTCTCTTTTTTTGTAAATCCCATGGAGGTTTATGTTCATTGGGCTCTGAACACAGCTCCTCAGCTCAGAAGAAAACCTTACTTTTGTCTCAGGCATGCGCTTCACTGCAGTATCTTTTTTTTTTTTAATAGCTAGTCCTAGTTTATACCCCTGGAATAAGCAAATCTAAAATCCCTCTCTAAGGGGGGCAATGCCGAGCAGCTGGTGTGGCTGGAAATAGCTACTGAGGGCGGGACATCTCTATTCCAGGGAAATCCTCCCTCTCGCAAGTGGTTATTAATTGCTACTCTGCTTGCTTTAATCAACAGTGTTGTAGCATTAGAGCTGAAATATGTAGGGAAGCTGGAAGAAAAATCTGCTTTGTTGTACGTGCCAGCAGTTTTGAAATGATGACATTTCTCTATTAAACCTTCCCTACCCTTCTGTAAAATTTTCAGAATTACAAAGTAAGGAAGAGTCTCTTTTCCTTTGGACTATTTGGACTGCCAGAAGGTTTCCGTGCCCACTTGCTGCACGGTACCTCTCCCTGATGAGTTTTATGGTGCAACCCAGAGAAGGCTGGTGTTCAGGAAGGTTAGAGCTCTTAAGGGCTACTTCGAGCTGTTCCTCTTCCCTGGAAAATCCCTAGAAAATCCCTGTATTTTCTATTCTAAATACATTGTTCACAGTGAGGTCTGCTGTACTTGATATGGAATTTTAGACATTGTCTTTAAAAACTACATTATTTAATATAACCTAAATGCATCTTCTAAAGTATTTTAAAAACTTCAGCTTAAATTTCCAGGTCTTCAGGGGGAACTGCTCATGTCAGGATTTTTTTTATCAGCACATCTACTAGATTGAAAAAAAACATTTGCAACTTGGTGCTCAACAAATCGCCCCCAGGAAATACAGCAAGATCCCTGAGAATTGCAGCATAACATCCAGTCGATTACATTATAAGCAACAGGTTGCACAAGTTGCTTATTTACTAAACGTTCCCATGCTTCATGAATATATTTACAATAAAACAGACTCTCTGCTTCCCCTTCCATAGCATCCCCCAGCAAAAGTGACAAGTGGGCCATTGGTGGAATCCCATACTTCTGTTCATATAAAGTCACAGCTAAATTAAATTTTTAACTCTTTCCTGTTGTACTTCATCTGTCTATTTCACTCATGGCTTAAAAATAAAGACCACTTTTCAGCACCCTTTAGCACAGCTGAAAAATGTTCAGCAGGTAGAGCTGGTAACACCACGCTATTTCCACTCAAACAAGCTCATGAACTTCTCAGCTTGGGTCACACATAAGCACACGGATAAATTGCATGTAACGTTCCTGTTCGGTGTAAGTCAGCACAGTTTTTCTGAAGCCAAGTTTGTGGTGACTTGTACTGGCTGAAGTTCTAGCTCATCTTTTGGTAAAGGTTAAATGTTTGAGCCTGTAGCTCCTCTCTGAACTCACATACATGTAAAACACATTGGCTGTCTTGTAACTTACCATCCTGTTGCTCCTTGGAGAACTCGATCTGTTGGAAGGAAATCAATCACAAAAAATAGCTTAGGAAGGGGGGGCTGGGGGAGAACCTGCTTGTTTTCTAAAGCATCCAGCTCAATCCATGAGTATCTTCCAAAACAGCAAAAATACGGCCTGTCAGATGTGCAGAAGTAATGCAGATAGCAAAAGAGCTGTTAAGACTGGTGAATACTTAGCGTTCAGTAGCCATTATGTTCCCCCTCCTGCCCCCGGTAAAGTTTAATTTTTGTTTCACTTACCATTAATTTGGTCAGGAGTGAAGGACTGCAGTTGGGAAGAGAGAGAGAAAAAAAAGAGAGAGCTAGTACTGCTGAAAATGCACTGAGAGAAAGCAAATAGCACAAGGTAGCTGCAAGGTAGCTGAGTGTTCTCACTTCTGTCTTGCCTAATTAGGCCTTGCCAACCTAAACTAGCAACCTGCCTTGTAAAAATGCATTGCCAGGTCTGTTTTTAAAGGTTCTGTTAAAATCTGCATCCTGGGGAAAGCCAAGGTTGTGGCTAGAAGCAATAACAAGCTAAAGCCTCTTAACTAACATATAAGTCATTAATGTACCATCAGGTCACTTACTGCTTTAGTGTAGACCTGCTTTATTATGACCATTTGAAGTAATATCGCTTAACGAGCAGCTTTTTATACGTTAACAAAGAAAATAAACCATGCCCTTAAAGTTTGTTTCCAATTAGCTTTTGACAGTACATTGTTTCGTAAAGTACTAAACTACAATACTCTCTTATATCAAAAATATTACTATTTTCCTTTGCCACTCTTGCATTAGATTAAAAAAAATGCTTATAGCACCAGCAAACTGTAACCCTTCTGCCTGAAGCTGCAGGAACCACACGTCTACCGCTGCCTGGAGCAGAGCTTCAGGCTGACTGGAAAGCCTTCCACAGTCCTTTAGGCTTGAGGAGGAAAATCAAGCAACTCTAAGCTGTTATCTTTTGGTCTATCTTTCCCACTTAGAACTAAATTGAGCGAGAAGCTGGATTTAATCATGTAAAATACACTGGCTTGCTGCTAACTACTTTAGCTTTCTAGTGGACCCACCATGATTGAGAGTTGGAAAAGTAGAGCGGCGGACGGGCAGGAGGGATTAGCTGAGATGTCTCTGAGAGTGGTCCTGCTTTCCTGGCCTTTCTTCCTCTTATTTATCTGGCGGCGCTGACGGCATTGCCTGGATTAGGTGTCAGAAGGAAGCTGCCCCTCCCCTTGGTGAGTTCTTTAGCTTTCTTAGGGCAAAGTGACAGGAGGCTCCATGCCTCGATGGGCATCTTACGGCTATTTTTAGGAGGCTGGAGAGGGGCAGGGGAGTAGCAAGCAGTAAGTTTGAATCACGTCAGCAATTTCTGGGTCCGGACCGTCAAGCAGGGATATTCCCTGTCCAAGCCTACCAAGAATTCCCTTTAGGGAAGGCTCCTATTTTTCCAATAAGCTCTTAAGTCAGCAACTGAGCACTTCTTGGGGCAAGAGGTGCAAGGCATTTGCCCAGCTGGCTGTTTTTGCATGTAGCCTGCAGGTTGTGTGTAAGGTGTAGCTGGATGGTATGCTTTGGGCTTGTTTCAAAGCCCATGAAATCGCTCATATTCCTTGCACCTTCACTGGGCTGTTCTCGACCCCTTTTTTGGATAATACGGTGCTTTGCATTAGATGAGTGGCGTTGCTGCTTGTCTGTTTGGTGCAATCCAGGTGTTGGCGCTGAGCAGAAGATTCACCTGTTGAAGTGCCCCCCCCCCCCCGAAGGTCTTCCTCTGCTGGTTGGGTTTTCCAAAATTTTGAATGATTCCAAGAGAAAAATGATGCAAGTGTCTTGCACCCAGCTATATTAGTACTAGGCTTGCATCTGATGTGCAGAGTAGTGGGACACTTAGGATACCCTCCTTCTAGTGGTTGGGGTAGGACAGTAGTGTGCTAGCTTCAAAGCTCACTGGTGTGGTGAGGAGAGCAGCTGCTGGGGTCAGAATTGGAGAGGTTTTTGTTCTACAGGCATGTGGAAGAAGCCGTGATGGAAGCCAGACCCTCCAGAAAGCTTTGGGTATTGGAAGGGTGACTATTCATGGTGGGGAAAGGCAGCGCTTGCTTTTTGTGTAGCAGACGAGGTCCTGTTGGGATTGCAAGTGGAGAGTTTCAGGATAGGTTTGAGGAGGGAGATGCTGCAGTTTCTTCAGTAGCAAAGACCAATTCCTATCGTGTACCATTTTATAAGCCTGTATCACAATCTCCAAGTGGGTGCTGTGAGAGGTAAAAGAGGGAGAAAAACTGCTCCAAACCTTGCTCCCTGTCACCTCAAATGGGTAGGGAGGGTCATGAAGCTGGCGTGGAAATGGTTGTGACAGCAACAGACTCCATGTTACAAACATCCCCTCTCTAATTTTTTGTTATTTTCCTTTGCTGTGCACTTGCCACTCTTTTTGTAATGGTAAAATATGATTAGTGAGAAACTTTCTGCTGCAGTTCACTTAGTTACCCTGAAGATAAACATAACCTTTTTGAATATTTGGCTTTTTTCAGTATGTTGAGTGGTCTGAAAAAAATAATCCAATCCAAGCAGACTGTTAACATTTTTTTTAAACGGAACAATCAAAATAAATCAAAATATTTAGTTAGATTTGAGACTTTAACCTCCTACTTCCCCACTTAAAAACTAAAGATACAACTGCAAAGAAGTTTCCAAGCTAGTCATTTTAGTTGGAAAACTCTCTGTCCAAACAGATTATTGTTCCCATTTTGGGGGAATATGGGGAACATACTGAGCATGAAAAATGCTCTGCTGCCAGTTCTTCACTTTTGATTCCTCTTCTATTTGTATCTGCTACTATTTTCATGTGGGAGCGGGACCGTATTCAGGACAGACCATGGCTATGGGGCTGTGTAGGAAAGAGGTTTGATGTTTTTTGTCTGAATTATCCAGCATAGGCTTAGCACAGTTCAGACCTCCTAATTAAATACTGCCTGGGGCTGGAGCACAGGCAGTGAGAAAGCTAATATGGATCTTGGCCATCAGTCCTGATGCATTAATAGAGAAGCTTTCTAAAGACTTTGGCAGAGCTGAAATGTTGCCTGGGTCAACGCGGTGTGTTGCCTTTTGTGGAATTTTCCTCCTGCCCTCAGCCTCTTGCTGTCCAGTGCTGGCAACTGGAAAATGTTCCCCTGGAACAACATGATTGAATTTGGTTCAAAGAAAACATTTCTTGGTACCTTCACTTCCTCGTCAGCTCTATGGTTGGCTACAATAAAACCTATCCCAAAACATGTTAGATGACAACCAGAAAATAATAGGGGCACATTTGTCTTGAATATAGAAAACTGATACCTGGATTAAGTACCTGGCTTGAATGGTTTATCAGGTGTGTATAAATGGAGAGGGGTCTCCATATAAGCCAACTGAACTCTTGACTGTATGAGACTTTGGCTCAGGTTTTAGATGAGGAAATACCTGAGCACCACATCAACCCTTCATTTCATTACTTGTCAAATAAAAGTGTCCTAGACAGAATTTTGCTGGGGAGTAATTTTCTAGCATGGGCACATCACATACAATTGAATTAAGAATCACCCTGCTTTAGGCCTGTGGGGTCTGTCGGGGGCTTAAAATGCTCCTCACTTTGAGTAAGTGCATCTATAAATGCCCTCAGTAAAGCAAATGCAACAATCCTTTAAAAAATCATCAAAGGTAAGACTTGTGATTCTGTGAGAAGCTTTCAAAAACTTCCCAAGGTAGAAAGGAAGATCTTGCAATGAGGAAACCTTTGTTCTGTTGGAACATGTTGTAAGATAGGGAAAAAACAGCAGGAGCTGGATTTCTCTAACTTGACTCAACCCTTACTTATGGACTAAGTTATTATCCAGGAGGATATCTATACCAAGGAAAAGTGCTGTTTATTTTCAGTTAATGCTCTTCCAGGTATAGCTTGTGACTGCCTTCTATTCCTCTCATTGCAAATTAGAAGTGTTTTGACAAGAACCTGGTTATATAGGGTAGGGTGAACAGGGTTATATGCAACTCCTTATCACCAGATAAGCAGAAGACCCAATCCATCCAAACCTTTACTTCCAAATTCTTATTAGTTCCTAACTTTTCTCTCAAAAAATCACTGGTTCCTGGACCCCTGGTCCAAGTCTTTGTTGTGTGGTGCTGTTCTCACCAGTTTGGGCTGGTGGGCACTCTAAATACAGCTGTGCTGAGCCACAGCCACTTTGTACTCGTTTTATGGGTCTGGGCAGGGTGAAAAGGCCCAGGAAAGTACGCTGCTGGAAGCTGAAGATGCTCCATCTGCTTGGTACCCTTTGGGTGAGTTACAGAGAAGAGAATTGTTTTAGCTGGGATTTGCTTAGAGAGCCCCCAGGTAGTTCAAGGTGCTGTCTCCATAAAAGAGACTGAGAATTCATTGGATGTTTGGGAAAATCAGAGAGGGGAATATCAGAGTGTCCCTCAAGATGCCTGTTATATGTTTAGCAGTTTATACAGGCCTTAAAGGATTTCCTTTAATTCTGGGTGGATATAGCTAGGGTTGTGCCTGCTGTAGTTCACATAGTATCTGCTTGCCACTACTGCCTGCTCCTCGATTAATACAGATGCACGGATTTTCTAGCAGCCATGACTGAGGACAGGATTACAGAGCTCTCAAACCCTGCTCGAAAGCAGGCAGTCGTTGTGCTGACCCTCACCCTGGTTCAGTAACTGGTGCAATCGATGCTGCAGAATTCATAGAGGCTGCTTCTCATTTAAGTAAGAATCAGCAGCCTGATGCATTTAGCCTCCTGTCTTTTAGAAGGCAAATAAACGCTAAATGCAGGTTTTGAGAATGAAACTGCCTGAAAATATAATAGAAGAAAGAATAAAGCTGAACACTGCTAATATATGGGAAAGAAATGAGATACTACAATGTTTGGAAGAATAGTTCAAAATCTCTTAGTTTAATGGACTCAACATAGATGAATTGGGTTAGATTTTCCCCTTCCAAGTACTCTGGGTAACTTCCTGGTTTGCTGAC